CATTACATATACAAACCGAGATATAATTTTGATGTCCTACAAATATGTTTTGCAATTGATCTATGATGATATCTTGAACTACAATAAAAAGGCTACATATACATTTAGAATAAGGAAAAGTAGTGTTTTTAAAAATGGAATATTATTTTGAGTTCTTTTAACCCAAATACTTTAAAAAATCAACACGTCTTAAAGTTATTTTTAACACAAACAAACATAAGTTAAAGTAAATTTTCAAATAATTGTAAACTTTGACACACAAAATAATTAAATTTACTAAAATTAAATGTTTCTATTTTATACACATAATTCAAGTAAAATTAGTAAAATAATTAATATCATGTGTTAATTAAACTTGAAAAATAAAGTAAAAAAAACAAATATAAATGTAAAGTATAGTGCCAATTAATTAACATTTCTAATTTGTCAACAAGTAACACACGATGAAATGAGTAATTTTAACTTATTAAAATTTAGAGTGGACTTTCTGGGACATATAAAAAATGTTAAAATTACGTTTTATTTTTCACTGTGTATTTTGTTAGAAACAAGAAATAATAAAAAGATGAAAAACTTGAAATATTATTTAAATATACAGGTCAGTATTATAAAGAATACTATAGGGAACAGTTGTAGTAACAATCAATTAATGAGAGCTAGTTAATAAAAGATAATTTTACTTTTACTATTCTTTTAAATAAGGCTATAAGATTACGTCAAATATAAGTATAAACAAAAAGAATTCGTCGGAGCCAGGAGGTCAACGGATTAGCGAAGTCAAGCAACATTGGGCACGATTATTACTTGAATAAGTAACTGTCTGAATAAGTAACTGTCTGTGAAAGTGGATTATAAAGTAGGCTGTTTGCACGAACGTAGTTGTTTGATAATCTCTGGTTGTTTGCAATTACTAACGACATATTTTTTTTCTTTATGCTCTCGGCTAGTGATTCGCAATCGTATGCAATCCGCAATATATGTATATACAATGTTCTTACAACATTTATGCTGTATGGGTATTACTTTGTCTGAGATTTCTGAAAAATTCTGAGACATTTTTCCATCAAGGTTCCCATCAAAAATAAAGAAAAATATGTTTAAATAGCATTATAGGTCAGAGATCATTAAAAAGATAAAGCGAGTAGCATTTATTTAAACAACTGGTTATGGAGGGCCGTTCGATTTTAGCTGCCAATCGGCTCACATTGCCTGTCAGCAAGTTCTGTCGACAGAACACGATCTTAATATAACACAGAAGTGGCTATACAATTTTAATTATATAATGTAAAATTCCGATCAAGTTTGCTGCCGATCTGCGCGCAAATTACTAACATTTTGCTAATAATACTTTAAGAGGGTTAAGACATATTACACTATTTTTAAATGTCTAAAGCATATTTATTACAGATGAATTCGTGGTGCAATCAAAATTCAAAAATAATGTGAGTCATATGCGATATGTCCATCGGTCAAAATTCCAACCCAATCTTCTCCTTAGGTGAGCAATTACCGCAGTCAAGATTAACCAATCCATTTGTCCCTAAAAAAATAATAAAAGAAAATTTCATTATTAATACAAAATGATTTGATGACGGGCATATTGATTGTCTCTTAAGGTCAATCGTTATTAAATTTATGACATATTCTTAATTAATTCTATAGCTTAACAAGGATTCAATATGATCTAGTAACAATAATTTGAAAGTCATTCTTTGCAAATTATAACCATGTTGTCATCGGAATAATTGAAAAAAATCGTAATTATTCGAATTGTTACTTACTTGCGGCATACGCAAACACCTTTGCTGTTACAATGTCCTCCTCTGCGATTTCTGGCGATACAGTTAGCAGCACAAGCGCTGTGACCAACACCTGTACCATCGAGAAGGTCACAGGTGATCCTACGTTCGCGATGGTGTTCTTCCACGGATTCGCCTCCATATATCACCGGCCAATACGCGATGTCCACGAGCACTTCATCTTTATTTAAATCTGTTTAAATTTAAGACATCTTTATTTAAAATATATAACATTATCATCATTTTAAAATAAAATCACTTGAAGATTATTTCAACATGTTATTAAATTTATTATTAATAAAAAGTAACTAAAAAATAACTTTGAAGAATTATTATTTACGTATCGATGCTTAGTATAGATACATTTAAATATATTTTGAAAGTTATTTTTAACGCGCACTTTAATTTATAAATTGGAAAGTTGTATTTTTGGTATGTCTAGTTTGCGATTCTATACCTTTGACGGGAAGTTGGCGCGCGAAAGTGACCGCAGCCACAACCAAAAGGGTGAACACGTAGATCTTCATTTTGAGGAGTGAGTCGTTGTCGAGCTTCGCAACTATTGAATTTAATTTTGCCAGTATTGAATGTAATTGCTTTATATACCAGTGTAAATGATTATAAATTGCGTAATATGTGACAGTGGAGAGATTAGTTTATAGTTATAAATACGGTAATTTTTGTTTGAACGAACATCGTTGCACCTTCAATGTCCAAAGATAAGAGAGCATGTATTTACGTTTTAAAAATAGTATATCTGATTACAATCGCGAAAATGTTCAAGTATATGAATCACCTGTGTAATCATTTTAATTGTATATAACAATCGTAACTTGCTTTCATGACTTTTTTCTGATTAGATCGTAGTATTGTTATCATAATATCTTTACGTAATAATATAATATGGGATGATTATAAAATGCATAAAGAATAAATAAGTAAAAGAATTAATTTTAATATTATGTATATATATATATATATATATATATATATATTTATTCTTATCTTTCAACATATCGTTACATATACAAACCGAGATATAATGTTAAAGATAAACTAAGTAATAGGCTTTCCTGAATAAATCAAATAGGGAATAGTGAGAGAGGCAATCGGAGCCAAGTGCGGTAATTATTGCGCAATCAATATATAGTCAATAAGATAAAATATATTAGTCAGCGCGTGGCTCCAATTGCCTCTCACTATTCCCTATTTGATTTATTCAGAAGACACCTTATACTTATAGTTTATTATTATTACACGCAGGCTGAAAAATGCGTTATTTGTTTTTCCAAAGTATCAAATATCATTACGGACCTCACGCGGTCAAATCGTTCAAGCTTTGGGTCAAATATAATAAAGTCCTTTATTGATTTGACTGCGCTTGTCGACCGATCGACTATATATCATTTTGATCGCTTTTGACCGTTAATATATCGTTTGTAATTTTCATGTATATTAATTTTGTTTACACGCTGAAGATGCTACAAAAAAAGTGTCGAAACGTCCGAATATGTATTGGTTAATATATTTTATCTTATTGACTATATATTGATTGCGCAATAATTACCGCGCGTGGCTCCGATTGCCTCTCTCACTATTCCCTATTTAATAATTTTAAAGTTCTACAAATATGTTTTGCAATTGATTTATGATGATATCTTGAACTACAATAAGAGGCTACATATACATTTTAGACTAAGGAAAAGTAGTGTTTTTTTTTACAATTATTTTCAGTAAAAAGTTATTTTTATTAAAAAATCGTTATATACATCTTAAATTATATACTTTTATCCATTACTTCTGTAAGATTTATTTAATAATTAAGGATGTGGCAACCATTTCCGTGAGGCGGCTTTTTCTAAAACAACTTCCGCGGTAACTAGAATATCTTCATTGGTTTTTATCTGAAACAAAAATCAAAATTTTTTTCCTCAAAAAGATGAAAAAACTAGTCCTTGTATGACGTAGCCAATTTTAATAATATTCATTTCTCGCAAAATGGCGGCCATCTGAATATATAGATATGTGTATGGTTTTTTACTCAACTACTTTTACTACTACAGATGGATTTGTGGTTGAAATTCCAAAAACTGTGAATTCCAAAAGCTGTGAATATGTCCATCAGTCAAAATCCCAACCCTGCAATCTTTTTTTTAAGTGAACGATTACCGCAGTCGAGATTAATCTAATATTATAATATTATTTTGTCCCTAAAAAATAATAAAAGAAAATTTTATTATTAATACAAAATGATTTGATGACGGGCATATTGATTGTCTCTTATTCAATCGTTATTAAATCTATGACATATTCTTAATTAATTCTATACTTTAACAAGGATTCAATTTGATCTAGTAACAATAATTCAAAAATCATTTTTTGCAAATTATAATCATGTTGTCATTGGAATAATTGAAAAAAATCGTAATTATTCGAATCGTTACTTACTTGCGGCATACGCAAAGATTTTTGTCGTTACAGTATCCTCCTTTGCGGTTTCTGACGATACAGTGAGCATTACAAGCGTTGTTATTACAGGTGAACCTACGTTCGCGATGATGTTCGACAGGTGAGGATTCATCTTCACTTGCCAGCGGCAAATATAGGATATCCAGGGGCACTTCATCTTTATTTAAATCTGTTTAAATTTGAGGCATTTTTATTTAAAATATATAACATTGTCATTATTTAAAAATAAAATTACTTGAAGATTATTTCAACATGTTATTAAATTATTATTAATAAAAAGTAACTAAAAAATAACTTTGAAGAATCATCATGTATCGATGCTTAGTATAGATACATTTAAATATATTTTGAAAGTTATTTTCAATGCGCACTTTAATTTATAAATTAGGAAGTTGTATTTTTGGTATGTCTAGTTTCCGATTCTGTTCCGTACCTTCGACGGGAAGTTGGCGCGCGAAAGCGACCGCAGCCATAACCAAAAGGGCGAACACGTAGATCTTCATTTTGAGGAGTGAGTCGTTGTCGAGCTTCGCAACTATTGAGTTTAATTTTGCCGGTATTGAATTTAATTGCTTTATATACCAGTGTAAATGATTAGAAATTGCGTAATATGTGACAGTGGGGAGATTGATTTATATTTATAAATACGGTAATTTTTGTTTAAACGAACATCGTTGCACCTTCAATATCCAAATATAAGAGCATGTATTTACGTATTTGCTTTTAGAAATGGTATATCTGATTACAGTCGCGAAAATGTTCAAGTATATGGATCACTTGTGTAATCATTTTAATTGTATGTATAACAATCGTAATTTGCTTTCATGACTTTTTCGCTGATTACATCGTAGTATCGTTATCATAATATCTTTACGTAATAATATAATATTGGATGATTATAAAATGCATAAAGAATAAGTGAAAGAAAATTAATTTCAATATTATGTATGTATGTATCTTTATTCTTATCTTTCAACATATCGTTACATATATATTAGGTACAACGCAAGATATAATTTTAAAGTTCTACAAATATGTTTTGCAATTGATTTATGATTTATGATGATTTATCTTGAACTGCAATAAGGGGCTACATATATACATTTAGAATAAAGAAAAGTAGTGTTTTTTTGACAATTATTTTTAGTAAAAAAATTTTTTTATTGAAAAATTGTTATATATCAAATCAATAAATACAAAAAAACTGTCATCCTCTTTACAGTAATGTTATAATAATCTACTGAATCTACTCAAATTCGCCGACATAAAATAAAAAATTATATGAAATAAGCGATACAGAGATTTATATGTAGATCTCTGAGTTTAAGATAACATCGTGCTTATTGGACATCAATTATTAATTCAACAGCAGATAGAATTTTATTTGCACAAATTCCCCAAAAAAATTTTATGATATTAAATATTACACTTTCTTTGCCCGCGTGTGCCAAACAACATTTTTATTTCTGTGTAAACAATACATAAAAAATTACGGTGAAAATATCTTTTCTGTTTGTTATCAAATAAAAAAAAGCAATTATAGAAGTGAAAATAATTAGAGAAAATTTTTTTGCTAAAAAGAAGTTGATGTGCTTTCTGTGTGCATCACATATTGTGTAAAATAACAATCAAGTAGAAATAACCGATGATGTTCTGACACAGACAAATATTCATTTTTCTACTTGCAAAAAATATAAGGGTTTTTTATTGACGAAAAAGAAAACGCCTTGACAATACCATTATGGCTGTGGTTCATTTGATGCTACAATAGCCCAGTAAAATAACAAAATTTGGAGAAAATAATACTGACTGGGCTGAAACTTTGTAAACAGGCTTGTTTTAGGGTATTATTTAACATATTAAAAGTCCCCATGTATAGACGCTACGTTGCGGGCAGGGGAGGGTTCAAAAAGTCCAAAAAACCAGTTTTTCGCAAATAACTCGGAAAATATCATTTTTACAAAAATTTATGTAGATATAAAAATTATAGCTTACAAAATTCCGCACAATTTTATTTTTTATTCAAGTCTGTACGACCAAATGGAGCAGAGATAGAATTTTTTTTAAGCACTCGGCGAATTTGGACTGTAGAGAAATGAATAAAAAACGAAATTGTTCGTAATTAGATTCTCTACAATTTTTATTTAAAAATTTCTCGATTTGAGAGTCCATTTTCGAGATATTAGCGAAAAATGCGCGACGCGCGTATGCATTTTTGTTGCGTCGCAAAACTACCGGTGTTTAAAAAAATTCTATCTCTGCTCCATTTGGTCGTACAGACTTGAATAAAAAATGAAATTGTGCGGAATTTTGTAAGCTACAATTTTTATATCTACATAAATTTCCGTAAAGTTGATATTTTCCGAGTTATTTGCGAAAAACTGGTTTTTTGAATCTTTTGGGCCCTCCCCTGCCAGCAACGTAGCGTCTACACACGGGGGCTTTTAATATGTTAAATAGTACCCTAAAACAAGCCTGTTTACAAAGTTTCAGCTCAGTCAGTATTATTTCCTCCAAATCGACAAATTTCAAGTCATTTTACTGGGCTAAAATGCTTCAAAGCATTCTTCTTCTCCTTTCTTTCAATGAAAAAAGAAGAAGAAAAAGAATGCTTTGAAGCACTTGTAAGTCTTCTAACATATCAAATGGACCGCAGCCTATATCTCATAAGAGAAAGAAAATAGTACAGCACGTGCCATCTACAATGTATATATACGTAACTGTTTCCTCATTTCATGATTAAATAATGTCACTGTCGGCAATAAAGTGCTGCATGAAGAATTTTAGAAAAAACTGTGAAAGCAGCTTATAATTTTGACAATTAAACTTTTATTTAAAAAAACTGGCAAGATCATAATACGATATCTATTTGTCCTGTCAGATATTTCACTAATTTTTACAATTATTGATCGAGCGCAAACTTCATTCGTGTCTGTACCATCACGAGTCACGAGGAATGTGATTTATATAGCAATAATCATATTTTGCTCAAAAGTCACCATGTACTATGTATATGTAATTGTAAATAAATTATAATTTTTTTGTTTTATTCGAAAATTTCTCAATATTTTGTTTAGCTTTGCCGAGATCTGCGCGCGATCCCGTCTGATGTTAGCCGGTACGTGTCGATCATCTGAAAGATTCTCTTCTCCCTTTCCTGTCCTTTCTCTCCCTTCCGCGCCTCTATACCCAGCGAGAAATAACCTATCGAATCAACCTCTAATTGACGTCGAAATCATCGATATTACATTATATCAAAATAATGCTCGAAATTTGAAGCTTATTTCGATGTTTGTGCTATATGACATTTTTTAAAAGAAGAGATTATTTGTGACATACATTCATTGCGCCAGACTGTAAACAGGCAAATTATGTACTTTCTGTTAAAACATCAATATTTCGTCATTTCGATATCGATTCGAAGCTATTTTGATTTGCCTGTCAAATATATAATAACATTGCCGTTATATAGAATGCATTATATAAATAAAAAATTATATTGTATTGGCAGACATGGATAATGTAAATATTTTATGATTTATGTTTCACATTAGATGGCGCGACATGCAAGTCGCCACGGTCACCACCAGTCACAACTCTCAAAGAGCCCCCGCCAGCCCCGCCTCCTTCCTCACTCGTTAGGTGTCATGGCCGTACTTGCTTGCGTTTCTTCGAACGTGTTGAATCTGTTACCTTTTTCTTGACGGATTGATCGTTGTGGCGCGTGTTCTGGAGACCAACCGAACGAGAGTCGGATCACCAGAGAGAGCTCACCGCCAGGAAAGGGAGAGCTGCGGCAGCTAGCGTCCAAGAGGGAGGATTGTGGCGAGGAGTGCGGTCCAATGAGCGAGGACCTTAAGAGACTCTCATTGGGACGTCATATTTGAAGACAGACATTAGTAAAAAAAGTACAAGGGTCTCTGAGTTTATATTCGTCTTGAGATCTAAGAATTACTTTCATTCTTGTGGCTCTGGCTTGAAATTCTAGTCTAAGAACCGATCTTATAGAGATTAATGCAGAGGCCCCCCTCTCTTTTCATTTTTCTTTCTTACTTCTTTTTTTTCATAATTGGTTATTACGTTTCAGTAAACATTTGGACTCACATTTTCAATCAGTAATCCAGACATCTTAATTTCGCCCTGTAAGATCTGGTTCTTTATTTTAGTTCATTTATTTTTTATTCTATCTTCAGGACAGATTACTGATTTGGTTTGCTTTCATTTCAAATAATGTAAGAACTTTTTAGTTACTCTCAATTTCTTTTACGTCAACATATTTTTTTTTTTTTTTTTTTTTAAAGATTACTGCACATAATACAGACAAAATTGACTTTAAAGGAACTTTCTGTCGCTCACCTATCTAAGAATTCTAGACAAACCTGCCGTGTTTACCATTACTTTTTAAACATAATTAAATTAAATAAAAAAATTAAATAATTAAAAATAAATATTAAAGATAAAAAGTAAAAAAGTTTATATATATATAAGCACCTAGATACAGGTATTATACTAATTATAATTGTATTCGGCAGAAAGCTGCTTTACAACTGCAGTTGTAAAATTTGTGAATTTGATTGGTGTATTTACATTTTTTTTGTATTATATGAACGATCTCGTAGTTAGGCAGATTAAAAATATTTATACATACCTAGCTACATACATCCCGATAAATAAATAATACTTTTCTTTTTGACTTGTGCGAGCAGTAGATTTCAAACGCTTGTTGCAGTTAGTTTTGTACAATACATTCAATAGACATCCTGCAGTACAAGACATATCATGGAATTACCGAAAAACTTCAAATCCATTGAGTTGTGGGATCACTTCAAAGAGTTAGAAGATTTTCTCACAAAGTGCAGGCTGTGTGGAGAAAAAATTCGGCCATTTAATTCACAAGTAGTTACAAAAGAATTAAAAGCCCACTTAAGGATTAAACATAAAATATCGTATATAGACCCTTCCATACCGTACAACCTGCGGCATTATTATACGAACTTACCAAATTGTAAGGCAGAATGTATTCAATGTGGTACCACAATATCTAATAGAGAACATTGGAATTTGACATCACATTTAAATAGAAAACATTCCGGCTTCGTAATAAACCAGAGTCAACATAAGTAAGTATACATGTTTCAAGAAATTATTAAAATATTAGAACTTATAAAATATATGTAATGATAAAGCAAGCAATAGTTAAAGAAAATTGAACGATTGAAAGTTTTTATCAGGGCATCCAAGTAATATAATTATTTCCAATTCCAATCATAAATATGCTTATACAAACGTAATAATAATAATCTTTCAATTATTTCACATATAATTTGAACGAATCTCTCACATTCATGTTTTTCTATCTATTATATAGACGTATACAATTCAAAATTTTACACACTAAAACCATTAATTGACTTTTTTGAGAATATTTTATAACTCTAATATTTTAAATACTAACTCTAACTTACCTACTTTTTAATTACATCACAAAAATAATGTTTTTGTTCAACAATTGAATATTATACACAATTACAACATCTTAAATACTATCATAATTAAAACACTTATTGCATGTTTTATTTTTAATCATGTTATATGTGAATGTACAGAAATGTTTGGAGTACTCCAGAATACTCCAGAACGGTCTCTCTTCAGGATTTCGAATTTGTTGCGTGTGAACAACTGAGTGAAACATTACCTCCACTTGAGGAACTGCAAGCATCGCCTGAGCAAGTAAAAATACAAGAAGACACTGTTAATGAGTAATTATTCGTTTTACTTATATCATACAATGTAATAATATCCTTGTAGTTAAATATTTACTCTTTTATATTTTATAACTGCAATATTTTAAATAATTGCTATAACTTTTTTATTTTTTAATTACATCACCAAAATAATATTTTTGTTCAACAATTTAGTAATACATATACACTACTATAACATACTTAATGCTATCATAATTGAAACGTTTATCACATATTCTGTTTTTAATTATGCCGTGTACAGATATGATCCGAGTAACTCAGAATCAACAGTCTCTCTTGCGGATGTCGATCCTCTTATATTAGACCCACTGAATTGAACAATAGCTGCATACAAGGAGGAGTTGTAGGCATCGCCTGAGCAAGAGGAAAGACAAAAGGATATCATTAATAAGTAATTATTCTGCATTCTGCAATCAACAAGCGAACTTCTCCGCTCACGTAAACCAAAGAAAGACAAAATAGACGTTAATAACGAGTGATTATTCATCTTGCATATATGACACAACACAAGGAGAGAATATATTGCGAATTCAACATGTATTTATTTTTTATAAAAAAATTTCTCGTTTATTGTAATAAAATTTATACAACTTTAGTTTCTATTATAAATTTTCTTTGCAAAATAATATCTATAAAAATTTACCTTTGTTAAAAAGGGCGCCAAGTACATGCCTGTAAAAAAGCTGTTGTATAGCTCTTTTCCAAAGATTTATTCCTACTTGGTGTCATTTTCTTATATTATACTTTTGTAGGTAGACAGGCGCGTAATACTTGACGCCTTCTTTGTACCTTTCTTTAAAAAGGTAAGCTTTTATAGATAGATTATATTCACTTGGCGCGAATATCCTAATATCATTGCTCTTGTAGTAGAAAATACAAATGGAATACAATTAATACGGAGCGCGTAGATTTTTATGACGCTTATTTTTACCTATATTAAAAAAAAGTTTTTATAGTACAGAAAATAATTGCAGCGCGCAATAATTTTTTTTCCGAAAATAATTATTACACAGTAAAAAATTTTGTGTATTTTTGTTAAATTCGACCTTGTTAAAATTTTTGTGTTGAAAATATAACATATTTATATGTTAATTTAAGGCTCCTGGGTACTCGTCGCGGCCATGTTGGAATGTGAAAAAGAAGCAAGAAATGACACGTTGAAAATTCTTGCGTAGAATTTCCAAATAAAAATATATTTGCTTAAAATAACACTACAGATCACTTCAGCACACTTCGAAAATACTCCGAGTTGAAGTTAAGTCTACTCCTTTCCCTTGACAGTTAATAAACAGCCGTAAAAACGAATGCGATACGATGCAGGCTTGTGTGCAGGGGCGCATGACTAGATTTCGTAGTGTTATTTTAAGCAAATATCTTTTTATTTGGAAATTCCACGCAAGAATTCTCAACGTGTCAATTCTCAACATTTCTCGCTTATTCTCCATTGGAGAGAGTTCTTATTTCTACCGCGACGGTACGTCGTCACCGTCAACGCGGAGTTCTCGGCTTAGGGACCAGGAGCCTTATTAAAGTGCTGCGTGAAGAATTTAAAAAAAAATTTTGAAAGCAGCTCTTATAATTTTGACAATTAAACTTTTATTTAAAAAAACAGGCAAGATCATAATACAACATCTATTCGTCCCGTCAGATATTTCACTAATTTTTACAATTATCGATCGAGCACAAACTTCATCCGTATCTGTATCATCATGATGAGTCACGAGGAATGTGATTTATAGCAATATAAATCATATTTCGCTCAAATGTCACCATGTATGTATATGTAATTGTAAATAAATTATCATTTTTTTGTTTTATTCGAAAATTTCTCAATATTTCGTTTAGCTCCGCCGAGACCTGCGCGCGATCCCGTCTGAAGTTAGCCGCGCTCAGCCCGGAGTGACCGGACACCGGACTCGCCAATCGGTTCAATCGTTCCGATCGTTCGACCATCCCGACCGGTGTCGCACGCCGCGCCGCACGTCGCACGTACGCTAAATACATACACGCGTGCACACGTACATACATACGTGCCAACACGCGCGCGCGTCGCGACGGAGCGGGGTCTAAATTCACGTGTCTCGCCCACCGGCCTCCGGCTACGGCAAGTGCAAGGAGTCGTTCGTCCGCGACTCGGCGCGACTTCGGGAAAGGTGGTGAGAATCCAGGTAAATGGCGTGTCGCGCGGCGTGCATCCTTCCGGCGAGCGTCCTTCCGGTCCACGGTAAGAGCCAGCGGCTGATTATCGCGCACTGCAGCAGCTGAGGCTGAGGGAAAACACGGCGAGCGTCGAGCGGCCACCATTATCACCATATTGCGTGAGGAGGACGACCGGCCCGGCCGAGGATGTTCGTCTGCGGTAGAATCGTCGGCCAACTGCCCGCCAGGCTCACGCACGCGAATCGTCTCTATCGACCTGTAAAATACGTCGGTACGTGTCGACCATCTGAAAGATTCTCTTCTCCCTTTCCTGCCCTTTCTCTCCCTTCCCTCTATTCATTCTCGCCGCGTTCTGGACGTCGAACTCGAAGGGACGATCTCGTTTCCCGCCTGTTTTGTAATTTTTCTAGACGACGGAATTGTTTCCCTTTTTGCTCTTCCCCGTATAATTGCCCGTAACTTCATACTCCGGTTGCGTAAGCTTGCGAGCGATAATTGTACGGTTGGATCAATGGAGCTGTGTTTACAATCTTCCACGCGGCGTGTCCGCTCTGAAGTACGCGGCGAATGACATAACCTGGAGACGTAACGCGTGCTTCTAGATCCCGCAGGGAGACGTGATCCTCTGGACTTAACGAATCTACGGACTCGAGATTTCATGTCAATTCCGTACTCGATACTCACGTACAGTGACACATTACACAACCCACATAAACACACGATTTGGGAAGAGATAGTACACCACAAGGAAAAAAATTACAGTTCAAGAGACATGAACCAGGGCGTAGAAGTTTTGTGTCAAAAAACTGTAGTAAAAATTGGATTAAAAAACATGGGATATTAGTCTTATCAACCTTTAAAGTCCAAACTTTTTAAAAAGGTGTACTTCTAGGTTTGTAGATGCGTTAATAACTTACCCGAGACGTAAAGACATTCCTGTTTTCTAGGAAAATCACAATAGATGCCTTCTGATGAATCCTCTTTACATTTTATATATCCTTTGTTGATTTTCTAAAGTAATGATTAACCTTCCTATACCCGCGCATTGGTCTGTCAGACCCACGATATACGTTTGCCTTGTTTTTTTTTAAATGGAAAACAAGGCAAACGTGTATCGTCGGTCTGACAGACCAATGCGCGGGTATAGGAAGGTTAATGATATTTTTTTACATTTTATTGCATATTATATTACTGTCTAGCTATTTGTCAGTAAAAAGACGCTATTTCTTTGATACTTTCTGTATGCTTTCTTGTCTAACAGTCTATTTCCTTGATAACTTCCTGTATACTTCCTTGTTTAATAGCTTTGATAGCTTACTGAAAATATTTGCAGGAATTGTAAATATTAGTAACTTACGCCACAGTAGTGATGCAAGCAATAAGAAGCCACCAGGCACCACTATCAGGCCAGAGGAATGTGTGCCTGACTCCAGATATTTCAAATCGCAAAAAACAGTTCCTCCCTGTGAAGTGGAAGCGTCTTGTCCAGCTGCTCAAGAATGCAAGCTGAATGGCAGGCAGGAGCAACCGAGTGAGAAAGGCTCGGATCCTGAAAAAAATGGAAAATATCAGTTTCGCTACTGGCACCTACTTGCTGCCTTGATTGTAACGGGAGTCGCATACAAGGTAATACAATGTTTTTACTTGACTGAGAACACTAATTAAATATCTATTGTAACTTTCTTTTTTTTTTGACAGGTGTCCTCATCGTTTTTGTCGAAAGATGACAAAACAGATAAGCAGAAAGGCAAACGTAAGTTAAATTAAGAATTATTTTGATACAATATTTGAAATGTCGAAGAAATATATTACTTACATATCCTATTTATGTTTTCAGAAAAGAAAGAAGGGAGAAATAGATCTAGAAACAAAGTAAAAGTTCCAGCAGAATCAAAATTAATACCTCAGGAGGTACCTTATCTGTTGATAGGTGGCGGAACAGCTGCATTTTCAGCATTTAGGTCAATTAAATCTAGAGATCCCAAAGCTAAGGTATAACGCGACAACAAATTTATACTTTTTCTTTTTCTGTTGGTACACAAAAATTTTCTTCCAGGTTTTAGTCGTAGCACAAGAGGAGGAGTTTCCATATATGAGACCACCATTGTCCAAAGAACTTTGGTATAACATGGATAGAGAAACAACCGCACAATTACGTTTTAATCAGTGGAATGGAACTCAGAGGAGGTAAATTTTTTACAATATTTAAACCAGTTTTCTGGTAATGTTGTTAGTACCATAATTGTCTTTTTCCTTGCATAATGTTTATATTTATTTTATAGTATATTTTACGAGCCGCGAGAGTTTTACTCGAGTGTTACTAATCTCGGTGAGTCTGATAAGGGTGGAGTTGCTGTAGCCATGGGTTGGAAAGTAACGAAAATCGATGTTGTAAATAAAACTGTGACTCTCGAAGATGGTTATGAAATAAAATACAACAAATGCCTCATTGCGACCGGTAGGTTTTGTTAAAAAAAATTTTATCAAACAAAATCAAAATTGAAATTTGAATTTTCTTGTACGTAATTGTATTTACAGGCGCATCACCTAAAAATCTGCCGATATTCGAATCCGTTGAGGATGATATAAAAGACAAGATTACAATGTTCAGAACAAAGGATGATTTTCTTGATGTGGAAGAAAATGTTTCTAATTCTAAATGTAAGAATGTTGTAATTATCGGTGGTGGATTTCTCGGCTCGGAACTTGCCTGCGCACTCGCTAGGAGTTGTAAGTTCCTTTTATTTATTATCAAAAAGTATTTGAAGGAATAATTTATTCATAATGAAACATGTGTTTTATTATAGATAAATCTAAAAATATTTTCCAAATTTATAAAGAAAAGTTTATAATGGCACAAGTATTACCAGAATACCTGAGTGAATGGACTACGAAAAAGTCCGAAGTGGAAGGTGTTCACACTATGCCTAGCACAGAAGTTCAAGACTATAAATATAAAAATGGTCGATTATCCCTTGTCCTCACTGGTGGTCAGACTGTATGTTGATATATACAAAATATTACGTAATATTAAGTACTCTTATTGTAATATTAAGTACGTAATTAATTAAGTACTCTTATCGATATTAAAATTTTTTATTTTCTTTTGGTAAAAAGATTGATGCTGATCAAGTGATAGTAGCGGTAGGTGTTCAACCAAATACAGATTTAGCAACAACTTCTAATTTAGAGACAGAGCCTAAGATAGGAGGATTCCTTGTTAACGCTGAACTGGAAGCGAGAAGCAATCTTTGGGTTGCCGGTGACGCCGCATGTTTCTATGATGTCAAACTTGGTAGAAGAAGAGTCGAACATCATGATCATGCGGTTACCTCCGGAAGACTAGCGGGCGAAAATATGACTGGCGCAGGTAATTTAGCAAGTTTATATATTTTTCTTATTGCAGTTTGTGAAGGCATTGAAATATAAACGAATTTTTCTTTCCAGGTAAACCTTATCTGCATCAATCGATGTTTTGGTCAGACTTGGGACCTGATGTAGGATATGAAGCGATAGGTATTATAGACTCATCCTTGCCAACTGTTGGAGTTTTTGCGAAAGCGACGGAAGCAAACATGATGGCAGCTAATAATCCTAGCGATGTAAGTAATCCTCAAAGTGAAATGTGATATATCTAATTGTAAACCTATTTCTCTTATTTTTTCTCATAGGAACAAAAGACACATTCTGAAAACTCGCTATCTAATGAAACATCGGAGTCATCGATGTCACAAATTGTGAAAAATGTTGATAGCACAGAAGAAGAAAAGAAAAATATATCTGGAGATAATAATGTAAAGTTAGAACAACCTACAAAGTACGACGATTTTGGGAAGGGTGTTGTTTTCTACCTGCGAGATGATGTTGTAGTAGGAATAATGCTGTGGAATATCTTCAATCGAATGTCGATTGCCAGACGGGTAAATTTATCGTCATTAATCTGTTCCTATCTCTGTATTATAATTTTTTTTTCAAATAGTTCTGATTTATTTGGATACACTCAAAATTTATATGTATAACATGTAATTTAAATAATTTAACATAATTTTTATACTATTTCAGGTTCTTGCAGGAAATACGAAGTATGACGATTTAAATGAAGTAGCGAAACTATTTACAATCCACGAAGATTGATTATTTGGTTAACAAATAAGAGAGAGTGAATGACAATATTAAGAGATTATTGTATCGTATATGTAAAAAGCTGTCTGACTTCTGTGTCCGAGGTATTATCATTGGAAAACTTGCAACCGAAAACTCGCATATCGTTGAATTGCAGGTAAATGCGAATTACATGAATACCAGTCAATGTTATGTTGTATACATGAAGATTTTTAAATACAATCTGTACACAATTCTCATACACGTGCACAGTGTACATATGTTCATTACGGCTAAGATAATTGGAAGCATTTAAATAGAAAAAACAGAGGAATTTTTATTAGTTACAACGCAATAGTCAATTGTTATTCGTTATATACATACATTGTTTTACTGATGTACAATTATCTTACAATTAGTGTTAAAAATCTATAAGATATTTTCTTTTGCATGAATACGAATGTTTTTTTAATAATGTCGATAGTACGTATCTTTGTTTTTCTTCTTCTTCTTTTTTTTTTTTCTTTCTTTCTTCCAAGTTACCAACATGACGAGATATGCATATTTATATTTCGTCTTCTGAATTTAAATTTTTAGTCATTGCCGGTAAAACCCGATTTCTATATCGTTGACCTAAATTATCCATGTACGTAATGTAATTATGACAGCGATACTCGTCCAATATCTGTAGAAAAATGCACTTGGCAAGTTATTTATTATTAACATTAAATGTAAAGAACTCTTAGTATATTTCGTGTGCATACCATATTTTCTGGCCACATTTTTCTGCTTGTTAAATCCTGCAATAACTCTTCCTGGCAAAATTGCAAAAGTGATACGGAGTAATACACCATATAGTCGGACGGGTACAAAATGCAAATTGTAAAAAAATGAACTATTTCACTCCATGGAAGAATTCCCCAGAAGCATTGCGATAACATTCTATTGAATATCATCCACCAATCGATACCGAAGACATCCTTTTAGTATGAAAATCGGAACGTTATATTTTTAGGTAGTTTAACTAAATTCTTTAAATGATAAAATTCAATCACCTTCAACCCATATTTAATGTTTGGAAGCTCGATGTTAACCATGGTTTCTAAAACTTGCATAAAAGTGAACTGCGAACTAGTGCCTTCGTTATTTTTTTCATCAATAACTTTACCCAATTTCGGCCAGAGAAGCAGTGTCGATGGAAATTGAATTAATTGCATGATAAAAGTTTTGCATCTATAATCAATTATTACTAATTAGCATATTGTCTAACGTAAAGAGAACAAGATCGTTTTGATATACAATCAGTTTAAGAGAAATGCCAATTTTCTTCTAAACTGATTGTAGATATATCAAAATTATCAAAACGGTGTTTCTCTTTGTACTGTTTATTTACGTCGGTCGCCTGAAAATGAAAAAGACGTTTAACTTATTATTAACCGGTTATTGCAAAAAATATCACCACATATTTCAGTAGTCGAATTGGTAAGATACCTGTCACGGATTGAGGGAGATTCCATCAAAGTTAAATTGGTTATCGAAAGATTAGGGGAGAAGGGGATTTTACTGTTTCAACGGAAGCTGTGTTTAGTTCGACAAATAATTAATTGGCGCGTAGTTTACTAGGTTGGAAAATATGTGTACTAAATACACAAAAAATATTATTAGGCTACCAAATTTAGCTCCGGAAATGGCATTTTCTTTTAAACTGATAGCATATTACCTAGTTAGCTAATTAGCACATTATCTGACAACTGGTCAATGATGAAAAAGAAATATTGAGACGGGTTGACGATAAAAAAGAAACGTTAACTCGGTGAAAACTAAGTTTTCAATCGGAGACCTGCCAATGATGATATCTGATTAGCTTGAGTTAATCACTTGATAACTTTAAAATGGTTGTTTAATCGATTTTCTTTGCGATTAAAATATCGCGAAGAGATGTTGATTAAACAAGAACTCTGTGCCACTAAATGTGACCATACCGGAAATTAAACAAGGCTATCAAAGGATTAATTCGCGGTCAGCTGAGGCTCAAATTTATTTTTTGTGCTAATGATTTGCTTTTTTTCGGTAATAGATTAATTATTTGAAGTTAATGTATCAAGTTACATACTTATCCAGATTTCCATCACAGATAATGAACACTGTTGCCAAGAACCAATCAAAACCTTCAAATCTGCTCGGTTTATTGTACTGTATGAATATGTAGGCAGAATGAATGAATTTCTTCAAATTCTCCTGACTGTCGTTATTGTTCTTTAAAATCTCTCTTTGTTCGGCATAATTCAAAATAATGTTAATTGCGTGTATGTCTTCTGGGAGCCAATAGTCCGTGTCGTACGTTATATTCTCTTGCCATTCAAATTGTTCCACCCATTCCGCAGTTGGAATGGCTTTGTGCATTTGACTCAACAAGTTCATCATCATCGAATTCTTAGGTAAAAATTATGTTCCTAATTTTTAATTCCAATCACAATTAAATTGTATATAACATTTATTTTTGTGAAATTACCTTAATCGAGCATCGCGAGGCTTTATGAGCCGCTCTAACTTGCAAGACCCAACTAATATCTAGCAATCCGGGCCTCTCCTCCTGCAGCAGATCGCTTAGCTCCGAATCGGATTCGATTTCCCGATAATCCGCCATATCCGCGTATACTCTAGGAGGTGGAAATTCCGAAAAAAGTTCATATTCCTCAAATGGGATCACATATTGCTTTCTTTTATATGTCATGTAATATAATTTTAATAAAATATTATGTCTCAGGAAACTGGAATCGTCAATTATGTATTCCTTCCTCGACTCTGGCTTATCACCACCATCACCGTCATCCTCGTCCTCTGTCTTCTCATAATCTGTTTCGTCAGTTTCGTCGGTTTGTTCATTACAAACTTCAATTACAATCGTACTGTCTCTCTGAATATCTAACAGCGCTTCCTAAACATTGTATTTATTATTACGTATGTACAAGTGTAGCCACTCTTCATCCATCGCGTGTAATGTGCTACCTGGAAGTTCAATGAGTTTAATAAGTAAGCGCAAACGTCTAGGTTCCAAATTACTGTGTTCAACGACAGAAGAGCTAAATGATGGTAAGTTGAATCCTTGTCTATTGCAGCCTGTAGTAATTCAGACAAATTCGAGGGATAATCCTTTTCCTCGTCATTATCCAATTCGCTGTCGGTCACCATAAATGCGGCAAAACCTGTTAACGGATATACATTCAGAATATGTACAATAAGAAATATTGTTATAGTTGATCAAGTTCTTTACAATTAAAATTGAGGGAAAATAATGTAAGTATATGTAGAAATTCGTCGATGTTTTCTCTATCCCAAGGGTCGTAAAAGAATCTAGGATCCTCCACGTTTGTGCAAATTTTTGACAGCAAAGTCGACAGGACATGGGGCCCGAGATCTGCGAGCACATTATGACCCAGGTCGAAATAACCAGCCGATGAGATGAAGCTGATTATATCGGTGGAACTCCAGATCACTCTTAGAGGAGCGATTGATCCGCGGATCAGTTCCTCGAACACCAATTTATCATTGACGAGTGCTTGCAATCCGAGCGGTATCGACACCATTTTTAGTAAAACTTTTTTGACAGCACTATAATAAAATTTCAGAGATTATATATTGTTACGAGCTTAGATTTTCAAGGATATCAAATCTGTTTTTCTATCTAAATTACCTATCGAGTTGCTGAATTTTATTTTCGTTCTCAACGCTACACTTGTTGAATCTTTTATAAAAATTAGCGACGGCTGGATAGAACTGCGTCTCAATTTGTTCCTGCGCGGCCTCGTAAACGTCGTAAACATCAAATAATTTTTCTATCAGATTAAAGGAATCCAGGATACACTTTATATCCATTATAGAAAACGGCTGTTTCAATAAATTCGACGCATACCGCATTATGATCGCGACTGGACACTTCGACGGTGCATTCTCGGAATTTGTTGTATGTTCTTTACAATTTGTAGTCAAAAATGCCGGACCATCTGCCGTGTCCACCATGTGAGAAATAATATTTAATGTATGCGGCCAAATCTTTATATTATTTTCAGAAAGAGGTATCAGGCGGCACAATGCAGCATGATAAAATTCAACATTGTACAATACGTCCGGAACATTGAGCACGTTTTGAAGAGCATTGCAGGAAGTATTGTACACTCCACTCGGTGCCTCTGCTGCTAATTTATTCAAGGAGTTCAATAATTCTATCAAAAAATCAGCTACGTCAAATGGCGTTGTTAACGAGTTCTCCGCGAGCAATTTTCTGCCCGCTTCATAACTGCAGAGTTGCGAGACGAAGATCAAGGAATGCAGATAAGTTGCAGTTTCTATCGTATTTCCGGAAATACACAGCTCGTTGCTCTCATCCATGATGGAGATGGACAAGGAACAGGGTGTTTCTGCCAAACCGCTGTTAACGCAGTCGACGACATTTTGCAGAAACGTTGGAGACTTGGCCAGAACAGCGATGAAAGTCCTTCTGGTAGAGAGACTATGAAGCCACCTCTTGCTCCATTTGGCCTGCGGCTCCAACACCGAGACGATATTCAGCATGTTCAAGGTTTTAGGTTGCAACGAGTTGCCAAAGCTATGCGTACTGAGAAATACTATAAATTGCTCTATTACATCTTCCACAGTCTTGTCGCTGTGCCTAGTGTTCTTCAACATTTCCTCCTGATAGCGGATTATCAGATACATTATGTTAAACAGTTTCTCGTGCAGGAAAAACTTGAAATTAATTCCAGAAATTAGAGTGGGCAGAGTCTCGCGCATTTTCTGCGAATGATATTGTGCGTTGAACGCGCTCAATAAATTCTCGTAGGTATGATGCATTTGTGAGCAATTCAGCAACTTTGCATGTACTTGCATGCTGGCCTCGAATATAGCTCTGTTATCGTCCGTGAGACCGTCCAGCAGCGTCTTCTGGAGAACGTCCCACTGAGAACTGTTATTTATGTTGGACAATTCGATTTTTAATAAAATTTCATAACCAGCCAATCTCACGTGGACCGGTTTGTCGCGACTGATCTTGTCGATGATGCAATTGTACTCCTCTCCGTTTCCTTGTGGAGAGGCCCAGTCGTCCGTCGTGAGATCACTCGCGAAGGAATGGGACGATTGTGATTGCGACGCCGCGGATGAGGGTTTCACCACCACGTATTGCTCGGCGATTACCTTTTTCATAGAATTTAGCAAAGCGGCCATGTCCTTCGAATGCGTGAGCTTGTAGGCGATATCGCTGGGCACCTGTTCCTTGTCTAAAGAGTTTTGTATAGTTTTCCCGAACTCCTTTTTCAAGCATTTTCTTAGCCATTTCTGAAGATCCGGTGGTACACCTTTGTCCATACTTATTTACCTAA